ATAATAATCCTTGCATTTGATATAGCGCTTTTCACATCTTTTCAACGTCTCAAAGCGCTTCACAGAATATACTGTAAAGTGAATTGACTGCATATTTTGTGGGCAAAACATGGCAGCCAATTGCACACAGCAATGTCCCACAAATAGTCAAGAAAACTTGCCCAAGGTTTCGACCTGCCAGAAAACAAACCCAGGTTTCTCGCTTGCGAGGCGAGTGGTCCAACCACTGAGCTACAGGACTCCACAAACGTTACAGACCAATGTTTGTAACTAGACGGTAAACTGGAACCTCCTGATCACTCTCAAAATAATTACAATTGCACCTTATTATATAAGCACTGCTGGCTGAATGGAAACAAATCTATTTTGATAATATTAGCACAGAGTACTTTAAAGTTCATGAGTAATCGGTGGATCAGAGTCTAAAGTATTATGTACAGACCATGACCATATTTTCCACCTGAAGATATACACCAACACTTAACTGCTCTCCTCCAAATACATGGCTGAATTGATATATAGTTTGGTGTCTTACTGAGATGGTCAAGCAGCAAAAATGCATGTGGTGATGGGATTTTTTACAACTTATTATTAAATTGTGGTCATAGGGGTGACCACTGTGCCTAACCCTGTGTTATTATTTCAAATTTGTACAGAGAGAGATGGGTGAAAGATGAAGCATCTAACATAATGCATGTTGCATTGACATGTTAGCAGTGAAAATAGAAATATGTCATTTGGGAATGATATTTTATTCAGTGATGTACAGAAAGCTATTCTTTACACTCACTCATTTATTCACTCACTCAACCAATTCAAACTTGTGATGGAATGAAGAATGTTCCCATGGGATGGGTTCCTCAGGACTGACTGTGCACGAATGGAACTCCGCCTGATCCAGTCCAGAGGTCATGGGGAGAAATTCTGGAAAAAGTTTTTAAAAAGTACAAAAGAGCTAAACAGGTAGGTTATATGATGTCATTTAGAATAGAAAATACAAAACACATTTATAAAGTGCCCTACACACGGCTTAGTCTCAGAGGACTTAATTAGTTTATTCATTTGTTTCAACGCATTCGTTTTTTTTCCAAAGTGAAATCATGTCTTTATTTTTCAAACAAAATACCAAACTGTTGTGGTTTAGCCACGATATAACATTCCATTATTTTCATCTCCAATAATACTGTCTACAATTTATAATAATCCTTGCATTTGATGTAGCACCTTATCACGTCCTCAAGACTTCTCAAAGCGCTTCACAGAATATACTGTAAAGTGAATTGACTGTATATTTGGTGGGCGAAACGCAAAAATTTTGGAACTGTCATAAACAAAGTCTGTAAAACACTGTACGAATGCATTCATTGAATTGAGTTGTGTGCTAAGGATCACCATTTGAGAAAGTCATTCTTAATAATTAAGGTGTGGGTCGATGTGACAGTTGAGCTCTCTTACATTTTCCAATATGTCTCAAAACATATCACAAGAACACACTCCAGTGAACCAGTGTAACAGTTCTATTCCACAAAGACAACTCTTTTTGACCTTGTGCGACAGATTTTCAGACTGATTGTCCATTCAGTTTTATTTGGCCTGACAATCATTAGACAGTTAAATCTTTATCTCAGTCATTTCAGATATATTCACCGCAGTAATGCCCTGCTGTTACAGCCCCTCAGAAAAGTGTGTTAATGCATTTAGTCAACAGAAAAAATAACAATTTGTTTAGCTGTTGTAAAGGAAACAAATAGTGTAATATTTTGTGCAAAAGCAAAAGTCTGTGAATGTGTTGAATTTTCTCGTTCATTGCAGATAATACTAAATCTTTGTAGATTATATTTGATGAATTAAATATTTGCAAAGCATTTATGCAGTGTGGAAATTCTTCTGAAGGTAAAAACCTAATTTATCACAAATGTGCTATGTGATTATTATTGTTTATTTTCCTTTTTCTTTCCTAAGCCCATACCACCTTACTTGCACAATTTGAAATCAATTCCAATTCTTTTGGAATGTTTCAGCAAAACAATCATTTGCTGAAACATTCATTTGCTGAAACATCTGCTCAGATGTGAAGGAATCATATTCACAGGAGTGAATAAGTTTAAGGAGGCATCTTACTTCTTTAAAGCAGTGAAACCAATGGGTTTCAGAGAGGTATTTTGTTTAAAAACCTGGATGGGAAAACTACACAACACATTTAGCAAATGAAAAAAAATGAAAAAAAACTATTGTTTAACGATATTGTCATTATTGTTTTAAGTGCCAGCTTCTGAAGCAGACAAATCATGCAAGGTATTTTATTCAGGTACAAAGTATAAGAATATTGGAACTCATTACAGAATCTTAGTCTCCAAATCCTTTGTTTTTGCAGCCTGCATGGTGACCTTCAGCATTTATTCAGGAAGCACCATTTTAAGTGCCTTTATCTCCGCCTATTGATTTCTGGTGAAAAACGTGTCTACTATGTACAGGTGTGCAAGCTTATAAAAAATATATAGAAGTGAAAAAATGATTCAATGAGCAACAAAGAATGGTTGCGACAGTTTTTAGAATAATAGATCTGCTCAGAGGCGAAGGAATCATATTCACAGGAGTGAATAAAGTTTAAGGAGGCATCTGACTTCTTTAAAGCAGTGAAAACAATGGGTTTTAGAGAGGTATTTTGTCCAAAAACCTGGACGGGAAAACTACACAACATATTTAGCAAATGAAAAAAAATTGTGATCAAGACGTCTTGAGTCGAGAGATTACTGAATTATGAGCAATTTCATATTGTGGTTATGAGTAATCTGAATCCTGACTCAGCATTGGGTTCCGCCACTGTTAAACACTCCCAAGACACTGCCCCCCATGAAGGGTGCTATATAAATGCAAGTTGTTGTTGTAGGCTGCCCCCCTCCCCTCACACCAAATGATTACTTTGCTGAAACATTCCAAAAAGAATTGGAATTGATTTCAAATTGTGCAAGTAAGGTGGTATAGGCTTAGGAAAGAAAAAGGAAAATTAAAAACAGCCAGAAATCAACCAGCAATGGGAGTTGGATTGAAAAGTGGGTTGAAAGGCATTTTCTATTTCTTCCATTGGTGTGACCTTGTTTTCTTACTGCCACTGCCTTTCCTAACCAAACAATTTATCTGTTTTGTGTGGTTCTTCGTGCTAACTTTCCAAACGGTAATATTTTCAATCTAAGACATGAATTAAAGAAAAGGTTTTCAGCTGAGATTTGAATGCATTTTTTGTTTCTATCTATTTGCTGTGTTAGTCAAATAAAACACATCATTCACGCTGCATGCTTCTATTTTTTTAGCTGATTTGTCTTTGCCAATCAATTAGAGAGGATGCATGAGCACTTTTGAGGGAGTGTTTGAGTGTATTCTTCACAGCTGCTAATACAGTACCTGGGCTCTGCATGCAAGTGGACAACATAAAGAAAGAAAATGTAACACACTGATTTGAGAGCTTAATGGGAAAGAAATGTAACAAACTGGAGGATTTAAAATATATATATATTACTAAGGCAGTTAAAAAGTTAACCTGACTGAACAAAATACAGATTGTTGGTTGTTTATTTCATCCAAACTTAATAACAATATATTAATACATCAATGCCTGTTCAGGTGGCTGTTAAAGATCCCATGGCACTATTCAACAAGAGAAGAGTATTTGTTCAAATGTTCTGGCCAATAATTCCACAAATAAAATTGGTCTTGATTGTTTGTGGGACACTGCTATAAGCAAATTGGCTATCATGTTTGCCTACAAATATATAGTCAGTACACTTCATGGTAAATCTCGTGAAGCACTTTGAGACTTTTCAATGATGTGATAAATGAACCATCATTAAAAGGTTCAAAGTGCTTCACAGGATTGAAAGATATCGAATGCAAGAACAATTATTATTATTTACTCAAAACAACACATCTGCCATGTCAGAAACTTTATTGGACATAATATTCTATAATATAAGCTCTATAATATTAGCTTATATAAGATATCGTCCACAAAATACAGTCAATACACTTTGCAATATATTGTGTGTAAACGCTTTGAGGTGTCCCACTGTCATGATAAGGCGCTTTATCAAATACAAGGATTACTATTATTATTATATAGTAAAGAGGCTTGGATTTCTAAAAGGCAATTTCACCTTCCTGTGTATGAAGCAGTTCTTACCTATTCATATACCTGCAGGACAGCGCTCTGAGCCTCTAACCAGCAAAATGGGCGTTAGATAAAATGCAAGGTTTTCTTTTTGCAATAGCTTAAATTTGAAAATGCTCTTATAGAAATCAGTACAGCATTCATCTCGCAGATTGTGATGATGAATCTCCAACTTTGAAAGGACTCATGACAAGGTCAGGCTGTTTGATTCTCACCTGATCTCTGCCAATTGTTCAGCTGTTGATTGACGTCCAATTCACAGCACATTATCCACTCGAAGCTCATTCAGTGCTGGTGCTCTGGATCCCCTGAAATGCAAAGGCTGCAATGGGGGGGAAAAAAATATCTCTTCGTCATACTCACCAGCAACCCTGTCACTTTGGAGCTCAGAATATTTGCGAAGTCTGTAATTATTCTGCGATATCACTTGGCAATGCCACATTGAACTCATTTTCTCATAAAAGGGTCCTACAGTGCATCTCTCCCCTCTCCTTACTGAATGAACTTCCTCTCTCTACCCATTTGCATCCCTCTCTCTCTCCCCCACTTGCTCCTTTAACTCTTTCTTTCTTTCTATCTTTTGTCTGCCTTTCTCTCTGTCTGTCTTTCTTTCTACCTCCCTCCCTCTCTCTCTCTCCATAAAGACAGCAGTCCCTGAGTGGGGGAGGGAATGTGGAGACATTAATGGGGACAGTGGTTGGGATCTCTCTGGTGGCTGTGATGTGATGTAAGGTGGTGGCGTCCATTGGTTTAGAGACTGAGCTCTGATCCACAAGGACAAACCTGGTCCTTATCATCAGGAAGAGTATTACAGACCAGCATCGCCTCGGCGTCTGGGAGTTTCAGATTATAACCTGTGTGGAGGTGAGAGATCTGTGCCTCCAGAGCCTGGGACAAGGTGAGAGGTGGAAGTTTCACGTAAATTGCAACCTTTAATGAAATAGTTAAGGTGTTTAAGTGAGTGCAGTATATAGACAATATTGTCAGTCTGTGGGGGGGACGATGTGCAATTACAGTAAACTTGAAAAGCCATCACATTTCGTGATGACATTTAATTTCGTTGTTCATGTTGAAAGCACACAGCACAGGGTCTGACTTGATCCTGGATTCCCCCACTCCCCCCCTCTCTCTCTCTCTCTCTTTCTCTCTCTCTCATTCGATGCTAAACGATGGCATTTGTCTTGGTCTTTCCAGTTAAACGTCCGCCTGCAGGTGACTCCTGAGACAGGTTGCGAGAACTGACTTCTCTCTAAGTTAAGGTAAACAGAGAGAGAGAAAGAGAAAGAAAGAGAGAGAGAGAGAGAGGGGGCTGGTGGTGGGGGGGGGTCCAGGTTCAAGTTAAACCACGTTGGGAGACGACAGGAGATGGTAACGATGTGAATGGAGGAGACTGAGGAATGAGTGTTGTTTGAATCCCAAGGATCACAGAGAGGAATGAACGAGTGCTGTCTTTCTTTCCCAGTGTGAGTGCAATGCAAAGTGTTTGTTGCCTTAAAGTCGCCCAGTGCTGCATTTAAGCTCAACACTTAGAAATATCTGCTGTTTTTTCTGCTGCTTGGGGAGTTTTGCTCTGCGTTTTTTGTTTGCTTTTTAAAAACAAGAACTTGTTTTTGTGCACCACAAAACCTTTGTAATGCGCTGATATTGTCAAAGGCAACCCCTCCAACCCCTCCCCCTCACCAAATGAGGTCTGCAAAGCACCCTGATCTGCATGTGTCCTAGTTGTGTGTGGGCTTTACACACTGTGACCAAATCTCTCGACAGAAGACATCAACGCCCTTGAGTTTCGCAATGGAAAATGCTTCCTGGAATCCGATGTCTCCGAACACGTCTTGCAACAGCCAAGAGGCCAATTGCCCCCCAGATGAGGGCAACGGGACCAATTTCATGGGGCCGGGTCCCTACCCAGACTTTTACATTGCAGTTCCAATTATATATTCTGTCATATGTGCTGTTGGTTTGACAGGCAACACTGCTGTGATTTATGTTATACTCCGAGCCCCGAAGATGAAAACAGTGACAAACATGTTCATCTTAAACCTAGCCATCGCCGATGAACTTTTCACCTTGGTTTTGCCCATCAACGTGGCTGACTATCTTCTGCTCCAGTGGCCCTTCGGGGAGCTGATGTGTAAACTGATCATCTCCATCGATCAGTACAACACCTTCTCCAGCATTTACTTCCTTACCGTCATGAGCATCGATCGCTACTTAGTGGTCCTGGCCACAGTGAGGTCAAAGAAGATGTCCTACCGCACCTACAGGGCCGCCAAGATAGTCAGTATCTGTGTGTGGCTGTTTGTCACCATCATTATTTCACCCTTCACTGTTTTTAGCAAGATCGACAGTGAACAGGGCAGATTGCAGTGTGTTTATGTATTCCCCCATCCTGAGATTCTCTGGTGGAAAGCCAGTCGCATTTACACTCTCCTCATGGGATTTGCCATCCCCGTTTCCACCATCTGCATTCTGTACACCATGATGCTGCTCAGATTGAGGAACTTGCGGTTGAACTCTAATGCCAAGGCTCTGGACAAAGCCAAAAGGAAGGTAACATTGATGGTGCTGGTTATCTTAGGGGTCTGCCTTTTCTGCTGGACTCCCTACCACTTGAGCACGATTGTAGCCTTGACCACTGAAATTCAGCAGACCACTCTCATCATCGGAATTTCCTACTTTATCACCAGTCTGAGCTATGCGAACAGTTGTCTTAATCCCTTCCTTTATGCCTTCCTGGATGACAGCTTCAGGAAAAGCTTTCGGAAACTATTAGACTGCAGAGCATGATCCTAAAGTCATTGCGTGAGACAAAATATAATAACCCTTGCATTTGATATAGCGCCTTATCGCGCCGTTGAGACGTCTCAAAGCGTTTCACAGAATATATTGTGAAGTGGATTGACTGTGTATTTTGTGGGTGAAACCAATATACCCCCATTACTGAATGTTGTGTATAATTTTAATCTGCCGTCCAGTTTAAATGTTGGGGGATATAAATTATATGTAACAGAAATGTTGGTTTGTTAAATTAAAAAGGTTTAATTAAATTAACTACAGGATTAAAGCTTTTTTTTAATTATAGGTGTATATTAGTTGTGGGAGAATTATGTATGGTAAAATATTTAAACATATAATCTCCATTCTGATTTGAAGAGCAAGATGCTATTATAATAGAATTACATAATAATAGTCTTTGCATTGATATAATGCCTTATCAAGTCAAAATGTCGCAGAGTGCTTCACAGAGTTTTCTGTAAATTAGAGTAACTGTGTATGATATCCTAAATTGGTACTTAATCTGAAACATAGACATGTATTAGTATTGCTGAGGGCTTGTTACATATGAAAATGTGTGTGTAAGCCTTTACTGCATTGGCAATGTGTTTAGACTCCAGGCATAACCCATATAAAACATGCACACATTGGTGTATTGTTACTACAATAATACTACAATTTCACCCAGAATACATCTAGCACAAGAATAAGATACAAACTTTCAGATCGGATCACGGCAGGTGTAAAGACGAAGCAGAGAAATGGTTTCCGTAGAAAATATTATAAAGTATTATAGGAGTACTGATCACATTTACTTATTTCAGAAATACATTTTAAAGCGTTCATTATCAATCAAATAAAAGTAAAATGCTTAGTTCTTGCTGAAAACATTGGAAACTTCAACTAAGCCACACTTTTATTCACTTGGTGAGCCTCATGTTTGCTTCAGAAGATTTCACAGCTACTATTCGAAATATTCTTTTTTTCTGGTGCCCTGGTTTGCTTTTATTTTTCTAACCATAACACAATCCTTTTGAAATGATCCCAAAGGCTTGCCATTAATGTAACTTCTTAAGTTGTGGGAAGCAAACTGAAAATGTTTCCTTACACAGTCAAGATTGGCAGCACTGTGCAGCACAAGATAAGCTCTGATTAAATTGGTACAATAGGTACCCATTCAACACATGAGCATTGAACGGGTAAGTGACGCAATATATTGGAATAGTCTTCCCCCCACCCATTATAAACCTTGCTTGTGTTGGGCGTGCACATAATAATAGTAACTGCATGATAGTAATGTATCGTAATGATAGTAATGGGACGTCCTCCCGACGTGAAAGGCGCTCTATAAATGGAATCTTGTTGTTGTTGTTGTAATATTGGTGCACCATCTGTACCATGTAATACCACTGCTCAGGGAGCTGCTTATGTGGGCTGAGAAGGGCAGTCACTCTCTATGTCTCAACTTTTTAAAAAATATAATTTCAAATACCTTTCTCCACAATTTGCTGGAGCTCCCATGCCAAATCTTTCTAATTATGCAAAGAATATTCTTTCCCTTATGTTTCTGAAAGAATTCCTCCAATCAGAAGTGAATTCATGTATATTTCTAAATATGTGCCTTTTTAACAATATTCACATGTCTGCTCTATAATCATTTTCACAATAGATCTAACTATTTTGAGCTCTAAATCATGCCATTATATGCGCATGGAATCTTTTTCCTTTAGGTCTCTCCATCACGCCTGTGATTGCCACAGTACTTTGGTTGTCTATTTTATACCCATAAGAACATTCTGCATTATCTAATAGACCTAGAATATTATAAAATATATATATCACAACATATGTGGCCAAAATATGCTCATGAATTACTTATAACCAGCACCTTATAATTCACTCGGAAGTCTTTGCCAGGAACTTAAAGTCATTAATAGCTTAGAAATGTAACACCCTCATCCGTGTTTCTTTGGAGCCATCTACTGTATGTTATGAAAAGCTAAATATCTTATGAGAGCAGTGCTTAAACATGGCTTGTAAGTATTCCAAGATATTTGTACCACATTCCAACCATAACATTTTGATGTTAATAAGACAGCTAGCGTGATGCATATTTAATATGTGCATATTATATTCTTTTGAAATACTGTAACTCAAAGTGACCTATCATTGCGGCAATGTGTCTCTGTAACCTTTTTTTCAAAATAAACAGAAAATTCTTTCTATAGTTTGTTTTCTTGAAATGTTTTAGGAGCTTTAAATCGAAGAACAACAACCACAACAACTTGCACTTATATAGTGCTATCGACGCAGGGTAGAATCTCAGAGTGCTTAACAGTGGCGGAGCCTGACTCCGAGCCTGTGGTGGGGGGTGGGGTGTAAGCACGGTCGAAGAGGAAGGTTTTTAGGCAGGACTTGAAAAAGGGGAGAGAGGAAGCAAGGCGGAGGATTGAGGGAGAGTGTTCCAGAGTTTTGGGGCGTAGTGGCTGAAAGCATGACCTCTGATGGTGAAGCGGAGGGTGCGAGGGACGAGCAGGAAGCCAGTGCCAGTCGAGCGGAGGCACTGGGTGGTGGATTGGGGAATAAGGGGGTCAGAGAGATAGGGAGATGCCAGAGAGTGAATGGGTTTGAACATGAGTGTGAGAATCTTGAAGTCCATCTGTTCAGTGATGGGGAGCCAGTGGAGCCTGACCAGAACTCGTGAGATGTGGTAACAGTGTTTGGTTCGGGTCAGAATATAGGCGGCAGAGTTCAGAATGAGCTGGATCTTGTGAATGGTGGAGCTGGAGAGACCGTTGGAGTAATCCAAGCAGGAAATGACAAACGCATGGACAAAGGTTTCGGCTGCATTTGGGGTAAGGTACGGTCGGAGGCGGGCAATGTGGCGGAGGTGGAAGAAGGTGCTCCTGGTCAGGGCCCGGATGTGGGGGAAGAAGGACAGCTGGGGATCGAACCGGACGCCTAGATTGTACACTGGTTCGGTGAGTCTGAGGGAGGTTGAGGAGTTTAGTTCCGCAGGAGTGAAGACGTTGACGGGAGCCAAAGAGTTTGGCTTCTGTCTTGTCCATATTCAGCTGCAGGAAGTTTGCACTGATCCAGGCCCTGATGTCTGCCAGACGAGCTGATAGAACATCGGCAAACCTGGAGTTGGTACCAGAGGAAGCAAAGTAGATTTGCTTGTCATCCGCATACATGTGGAAGTTTACCCAGAGGGAGCACATAGATAACGAAAAGAAGAGGGCCAAGAATGGAGCCCTGGGTACCCAGCAGGTGACTGGGCCGGGATGGGAAGAGAAACAATTTGCTGAGATGACATGGAGGCGGTTGGTTAAGTAAGACTCGAACGATGCGAGTGCGGTCCTACTAAGGTGGATGAGGGAGGAGAGGCAGTGGAGAAGGTTAGCATGGTCGACTGTGTCGAACGGGGCAGAGAGATCCAGGAGGACGAGGACGCAGAGGGAGCCCTGGTCACAGATAGAGAGAATGTCGTTTGTGACTTTGACAAGCGCTGTCTCTGTGCTGTGGGCAGTGTGAAAACCAGACTGCAGGGGCTCGAGGAGGGAGTAGAGGGAGAGGTGTGACTGAAGTTGACCTGCAACAATGCGTTCCAAGTCTTTAGCAAGGAAGGGTAGTTTGGAGATGGGATGGTAATGTACGAGATTAGTGGGATAGCGGGTGGTTTTTTTCAGAAGGAGTGGAACAGAGTTGAGGAGAGAAACTGGTTGACCGTGTTGGCCAGCAGGGGGGAGAGAACGGGAAGTTGAGTGACCAGCAGCTGGGTGGGGAGGGGGTCGAGGCAACAGGTGGTGAACTTCATCCGGGTTATTGGTTGGAGAGGGAGGAGGGAGAAATCGGGGCAAAGGAGTGTAAGGAGGGGGGAGTCGCAGGAGCTGTAGCGGAGGGAGAAAGCGGTGTGGATGGTCTGGGTGGGATGAGAGGGGACATGGGGGGGAAGGACGATGCAGCCCAAGTGGTTGTTTTCAATTTTTGAGGTGAAGAAGTCTAGGACATCTTTGCACTTGGCATTTGATATGAGGATAGTGGGGGCTTGAGATGTAGGGTTTTTAAGTGGTACAACCCTGAGGTAAGATAGTACAGAGGCAATGGATAAATCAAAGGGTTAATTTATTAATCAAAAGATGGTTATTAAACAGTTACAAGTTTCATGCTTACAACTGCAGAAGGTGATTCACAGCAGGCTGGGGACACCAACACACCAATAATCCTTTGGCTAATTGTTTAGCCACAAACTCACATTCCCATGGGATCCAGTATCTCACAGTGTCCAACTGTGTCTAACGATGTCCCAAAGGTATCCCACGGTGTCCAACCTCTTAATATTTGTTTAGTTCTTTTATACCCCAAAGTTCAGACAAATGCCTAATAATAATCCCTCCAAAAAAAACCAATAATAAATTGGTCATTTTCAATCTACGACTGTTTGTGGGACATTGCTGTGCGCAATTGGCTGCCGCGTTCGCCCACAAATATACGGTCAATTCACTTTACAGTGTGTTCTGTGAAGCGCTTTGGGATGTCCTCCCGACGTGAAAAGCGCTATATCAAATACAAGGATTATTATTATTATTAAATGATGATGAAATAACAATTCACATTATTCACATACCACAAGATAAACACTGCAGGTTCTTTTTTTGCAAATTGCATATTATGTGAAGCCAACAATCCTAATCATAGCAATATTTGCCACTTATAAATCTAATATATTAATGTATCAATTGTTTTCTCTTTATTCTCTTTTGCTGTTAGGAACTAAGGATATTAAATTCCTCTATTACTATTTTTACAGAAATGTAGAGTTTTGTGATAACAACTTGCATTTATATAGAGCTCTTCAGGTGGGATGATGTCTCAAAGAGTGTCACAGTGACGGAATCAGATGCTGAGCAAAGGAGAACAACAGCAACAAATTACACTTGTATAGCATCTTTCACGTCAGGAGGACATCCCAAGGTGCGGAACAGTCAAGGATCAAGGGGTAGAGGACGGGGAGGGTAGGGTTAGGA